TATACACCAGACAAATACATTCAGTTCATATACAAACAACACAAATTCTAAATCAAAAAAATTATAAAAACACCCTTAAACCAGAAACAGCCCAAATCACCTGTTCTATCAAGCTGACACCTTGCGGAACAAAATTAGTGCCACACCCATGGCTAACGGCAGTGTGCGGAACGACAGAAGTGCAGGTGGTCTCACAACACGCAGAAGCAGTGACTTCAGATTCAGTGAGCTGAGTGTTGGTGCAAGGAATGGAGGGAGATGGAGGTGGAGGAGAGGGAGGAACAGGGGGAGAGGGAGAGAGTGAAGATGGAGGAGGAGGAGGAGGTCGAGGGAGATGTAGGAGCAGGAAGGAGAGAAGAAGAAGAGGAGGAGGAATAGGGATGTGGGCCAGGGGTAGAGTGGTGGACTGGACATTTGGGGGGACGAACAAGAGTGGGAATGAGGTTATCGAATCGCTGGGTGTCATCTTCCTCAGGTTCCTCCAGCTCCTAAGGTAAATCAAAAGGTTGTTAGTATGTTACTGGAGGAATAACCTCACTACTCCTTTAGTACCATCACCTCCATCAGCATAAAACTATAACAGTGATTAACATTAATACCATTTCCATCACCATCACTATGTTTAGTGTTATGTTATCAATATTCCTATCACCAGTAAAAAGATTATCAGTGATTCTTCTTCATATTAGCATTGCAATTTTCATTATCAAGACCACTATTCTCATCATCATTATCAATGCCGAACCCCATTAATAACAAAGAAGTCTGAAAACAAAAATAATTACTTTATGTATTAATTTTATATTTCTAAAATACTCTGAAAATATTACTATTTCACAGGTCCAGCTCAATTCAAAACTGATAAATCTAAATATGAAGCCAAATGCTACAGTACAATGGCATATTTTAGGTTGCATGAAACTATTTATGGCAGACTAAAAATAAATAGCATAACCTAAAATATAGTAAACTGAAGGTACTCTCACAATAATAAAAAAAACAACTAAAGACTTACATGTCTTTCTTGAAACTGCATAGAACAATACCATTCTCATAACTAAAAAATAAAGATACTCCCTGGCAAAACAGCAAAACTATAAACCCTCTCAAATCAATACCTGGATAAATAAACAAATCCCAGATTTAACAATAGCAGCCAATACAGAAGAAAACATAGAAGTACGAGGAAAGTGAAATGACAAAAATGAATGCATTCTGGAGGTCAACCACAACAAGACCTCCAACTCACCCATTTGGTTGCCTCAAACATCTTCACATCAAGGGGATCACCAGTAAGCTCCCCATGGACATAGGTGAGGGAGTGGCATGTTGCAAGGCAAGCCACCAATTGTGACGTGTGATCGAGCGTTGACACATCCATAACTGGGGTGCTCAGGTGTTCTCCTTTTGCTTCGACCACACCCCAGACCTCCAGCCCATCCTCAGTTAAGGTTCCCGTCTTCAGGGATAGGAGAAGGGAGAGGGTTAGACTTAGAGAGACGAGAAGAGAAAATTTAATTGCACCTGGAGAATGAATTAGTCATTCATTAAGTGCTGAATCTTTTCTTCTTTTTTTTTTGGGTGTGGGGAGTAGATCTGTGTATCATATCTTTGAAATATCTTCAATTGAAATGATAAAATTAATGTATATCAATAGACACAATCAATTTTTTCTTCTTCTTCTTCTTTTTTATTACCTTATCAAAGCAGACCAGTTTGAGTTTCCCTGAGACATTAATCCTTGGAGGCGATATGCAAAATATTCCTCTTTTCTTCAATCTACTCTGAGCATAGTATGTTCCAACTGTCATAGCTGCAGGGAGGGCCGGGGGTACAACAATGGTCACAATGTCCAAAGTACGAACCACAGTCTTCAAAATGGTTTCCTGCATGAATGACAAGAATTGTTTATAAAGGAGCGAAAAAAGTATATAAATATACACATAATATATAAATATATACATTTATATGTAAATGATATTTACATATAAATATATTCATTACTGGGATAAGCATTTTCAAAAAGGTCTGCAGTAATTGCAATCAAGAATTAATGTGGGAAACTACTTAAATGCATTTAAATTCACTTTCCTAGTTATCACACTGCAAAAAACTATGGATAGATTTCTCTTATTCATTTACTGATAATTTTCCATGATAACAGTCTCTCTCTATCTTTCTACTACACATTCATATGACACATACCTGGTGCATAATGTAAATATATATAGAATACGACATGCCAAGAGAAGCAATTGCAAACATAAAGAGAATAAACTTCATGGAGTCTTTGTAGAACTTGAAATCCAGAGGTCGTGGATAAAGTATAGAGCGCACCAACTCCCCTTTCGCTGTGCTGAATCCTGTCCGCACAACCACAGCTAAAACCTGAAAGGAAAAAGCATATCATAAAAATGATACATACATATGCATGAATTTATCCAAAGAAAATTTTAACAAACTAAGAAAACAACAAAAACACACAAAATGGCAGAATTCTGAGTTAAAAAGTTTCTTTAATTGTTGGAGTGCATAATCCAGTGCTTTGGATCATAGCATTCTCTCTTTTACTGTATCCAATATTGTAAATAAGTCTTTATTAATACAAGCATAAAACCTACCAAAGGGACAACTATAAACAACAAACATCAATAAAATATGAATATACAAATATATATTAATGGATCGACATTCATTCTTATTGTGGCTGCATTTCATATTGCTAAAAAAAAGAAAATTAAAAATAAAATAAAAATAAAAGAAAAAAACAACTTACACACACACTAATATAATAAAACCTCTCATACATATCCTTATCTTCCTTTCACAAACAGAAGTGTGTCAAGCAGAGAGGAATTTTAAATACAAATTTTCATACCTGTGCATTGCCATAGTATCTGGTTTGGATGACCGCTGTCCCACAGAACAAGGTGTGTCGTTTGTGCTTCTCCGCTGAGTAGGTCTCGTTCCCTTCAGATGATGTCACAGGCGTCTTGGTCACAGGGACACTTTCACCTATTGAGAAATTATTTAGATAGAATTATCAGTCCTAACTTACCTTGATGACATATTCATCTGGCATTAATCATACCTCTAGTTTTAGAGATGATGAAGAGAGAAAGAGAAAAAAAATCATAATAAAGTGCAAGAATAAACCACACAGCACTTCCTTCTCTTTGTTCACAAGAGAATAAATCTTCATACAAAAGAATTGCTGAAGGCCCTACCCCATTTTAAAAATTATAATATCAACCCACCTGTCAGCATGCTCTCATTGACGATTGCATTGCCAGAGATGAGTACAGCATCACACGCCATAAGACAACCTGTTCCAGGAATGACCAACACATCACCAGGAACCAAGTCTGTTGTGTTGACTTCTACTTCAACTGTTGAGATTGAAAGCATTATCATTTTGGATAATATCTATTTATAACTAGTTAGAATCACTGTTGATTACCTTAAAATATTAAATAATAAGTTACAGCAGCATTCAATATATTAATAAGAATCACTGCACTCTCCTCTCTTTTATCAATGTTAAAATTATGACATTTTCATCACTATCAGGTATAGTAATTAAACAAAACAGAATTTTAAAAAATGGTTCTCATTTAATAACTCTGGCCTATATCAATTCAAGAAACAATATTACAAAATCAGAAAACTCAAAACACAAAATAATACAAACCTGTGGTTTTCTCTGCTGTAGATCTTAGCACTGTTGCAGTATTGGTATTTGACGCCTCAACCATATCATGCAGTGACTGACTTTGCTGAAATAACACAAAAACTTTAGTGATCTTATTGCAAACCAAGAGAACAAAGTAATCAAAATATTTAACCTGAAATAACCAAATATATCAACTTTTCACAAAAAAGAACTCAACTATATCAGCTATTTCAACTTCAGATACTCCTCCACTTGAAATGGGTCATGTCTCAAATAAACAATCCAAAGTTGAACATTTTGCAAGGTAAAAAATACACTAAATGTAACTGATCTACTAAATATCATAACATAGCCTAGCCTACTTTAACCCAATCACCCAGATTTATGTACTGTCCCCTGTAGTTTTTTGTGATTTTTGTTATATACAGATAGCTCTGCATGCACTCAGCACCAAGGAGTCCCTAATGATCGCACCTGACTTACCCATTCCGTGAAACAGCAAGAGAATGTGTTTTTCCTTTAAACATTATTAAGCTGTTAGCTCTGTTGGTTTAAAAAGCGTGCGTAGCTCATATACGGGTCTCTCTCCAGCGAGCAGTAAATTTGTTTGTGTCATCCTGAATGTCTCCTATCTAGTACAGTTTTAGCCCTTTCTCTTTCTCTCTCTCTCTCTCTTCATACATACATTTATACTTACATACATACATACATACATACATACATACATACATACATATATACATACATACATACATACACCACATGTACACACATACACATGCACATTGCAGATATTTGGTTCAAAATGTTTGAGAAATGAAGGACACCGAGAGGGGGATATAAGGACAAAGAATGAACCAAGGAGGGGGAAGTGCACCCCCCGTACTGTCACCCATCCTTGGTGGAGGTGTATAGGGTGAGGTAAAGGAATAGAGGATATGGTGGACAGGGGAAGGACCACAGAGGGGGAAACTGTGATTTAGAATCTGCCAGTGATAGTTCCTCATTCTAGGTATGGGGAGGGGTATATCTAGCTGATGTATATGATTGGTGGAAACAGGCTGGCAGATGGAGCTACTGAATATCTAGGGCAGTATATGGAGTCTAAAAATAGATCTAGTACAGAATACGGGATCACTCAGCAACAAGTAAATTAAATGGAATTATGACGCCAATGTTGGTGTCACAGTATGTTCCACTGGCGCTTTATGACACTGCGTCGGTCTTACCGTATAAAACAGGTTACTGTTGATACTGCTATTGTTCTTACTGGACACTATGATTGTTAAGTGGTATCAAAATATTGATAACATTCAAAACAATTAAT